CTCTCTCTCTCTCTCTCTCTCTCTCTCTCTCTCTCTCTCTCACACACACACACACACACACACACACACACACACACACACACACACACACGAGTCCTCTGTACCTCGGCCATAAGCCACAGGAACCTCCCAGACCAGAGCACGCAAAAACGAGTTGCCTGCTTCCAAGTTGGAGGCTTTGATGCTCTGCAGCTGAGAGAGGCTACTATGGGCGACGGTGCTTTGATGTCAGAAATGGCACTCCAGAAAACTGGCACTTTTCTCAGGCTTGTCAACGTTTAATCCATAGGCAGACGATTACTTCTGATCTCGATTTGGATAATGGGTTGGTTTCGCAGTCATCTGGGGGGTTGTGAGGCGCATGGGACCACATCCGGCAGCCAAGAGAGGACAGAGTTATTTACCTTTGAGCTATCTGTCATTTGATCACCCTTCAGCGCTATCCCTTCGCATGCCTGTCCTTGGGCTCGCTTTTCGGCAAGAATCGCCCACCTCTTTTCGCTCCTGGAATCCTGCACCCGCTTCCTTATTGCTTCCCTTGTCATAAAAGGAAATCTTTTGAAGTTCTCACGATGCTTATTAAGGATCTCCTGTGCTTTTGGAGAGTTGATTTGCACAGCTTGCCGCTTCGCATCTTCGAGCAGAACCTCCACAAAGCCCTTAGCGACCGCTTCAGTTTTGTCATCTCTCTCCATTCGACAGTGTGTAGTATCCAAAGATTGGCCACGCTCCACCGCTTTCTCTGCCGTCCCAACTTTCTCACCTTCTATTTTCCTAACTGCATCATCCTCCATCTCTTTTATTGTCTCCAAGATTCTCTTATCCACCTCATCCTGACGTGGATCTCCATAGCCTTGACCATCAAGGCCTCGTTCTTGTTCATCTGAGCCGCATGATAAGTTAATCCCCTTTGATTCAAGAGCCTCCCTTGTTGGGAAGTCCGCTCCCTCCTGATAGCCACGTGGAAAGCATGCCAAGCACAAAAGAAAATGTCAGAAATTCTCAGAAACACGTATTAATCCAAGGACAGTTAAGGAGGAGGAGGAGGAGGAGGAGGCAGAGTAAGAAGAAGAGAGGAAGAAAAAGAAGAAGAAGAAGAAGAAGAAGAAGAAGAAGAAGAAGAAGAAGAAGAAGAAGAAGAAGAGGTCACAATAATGGACTGAACCGATTAGCAAACATTCAGAAACAAAAAGAGATGCCTGCTGCTCCATATCGACCATCCTGCAAAACTACAACCCACCCAGAAGGTAAAGGAGAGGAGACTGTTGAGCGTGACCCTCCTTACAGAAAGGACTTGAAAGATCTGTAGAATGCAGGCGAGCCTCATGACACAAGCAAAACATCCCTACTTCCTGTACTCGTTGACGTCAGAAGAGGTGATCAGCCCTTTGTTTACATCTCGTGGCAATCAGATCCTATGTGATGCAGCAGAAAAGAAACACCACAAGACAGAGTAAGGGTGCATTATCACAAGGACTTTCTCAATTGATACTTGGACGCAATTGCAGTCCAGTACATCCAAAGCTTGCCAAAATTGCACAATCAAATACATCCTCAAAAGTCCCAGTGTGATAATCCTCTTAAGTGAGTGGTCAGAGTCCCTTTGCTCAAGAACGCGGCCAACAACACCAGGATCTGTGTCACTTCCCTGACTTTAGCAGATGCTCAGGCAGACTTCAAAACAAATCATCAGCATCACCTTCGGGCCCCTCTCACGTCTTCTCTCTTTACTGAGTGATCCATCATTTTTCTTATTTTCTCTTTTCCTCACGCCCCTCTCACATCTTCTCCTCTTTCGTTCATACAGAGACGGCTTGGGAACCGATACCACAATTTCTGCATCGCTTCCCTGAGTTTAGCTGATGAGCAGGCAGACTTCAAAACGGATCATCAGTATAACATTTGCGCCCCTCTCACATCTTCTCTCTTCACTGGGTGATCCATCATTTTGTATATTTTATCTTTTCCCACACCCCTCTCACATCTTCTCCTCCAACTTTCGTTCCTACAGAGAGACTGCTTGGAAACAAATCCCATCATTTCAATGTCCCAAGCCTGGATGGCTTGCACAGCGAGACTTGAAGCATTTATCACAGCTCCCCCATTTCGTTATCTTCAGACTCGAAACTCGTACAATGGCGACTTGAAACCAAAAACGCGTAGCGCGGCTGTGCAGCAAAAGCCAGGAAACCCGCATAGCGGACAACAGATGGTAGGTGAACAGAGTGCTTGTGGGTCAAACAGAAACACAAGTCGGAGAGGTATCCTCATGGACTCAGCTATCTACACCACTACAAAAAGGGTATAATAGCACCATGATGGACTAGTTCGACTATCCATCCACTCTACAGTCTTCACCCGAATAGAACGCTCAGTCATAATCGATGTTTGATCAAACTATGGCGAGCCTGCTGATTGACCAATGAATTTGGACCTTCCAACTCGTTTCCAGCATATAGCGAAAGTGATTGAACTCTCATGTTGCCATGAGATCAAGACTGAAAGTTGCCCCAAATACAGGGCTAATGACCGGCTGTTCTATTCAAGTGAAGATGATTCTCCTCGCAAAAGTACTGGCCGTGACGCGGGGGGAACAAAAAGAACACACAGCAGTGATCAAACAGCCATTCATGTGCAAAACTGTGCAGCTGTTGAACAAACCACTATGGCCGGACGCAGCGTGTTGGAACTCGAGATGCTGACAGAACAGGAGCTGACATATTTTTCAACAGATGAAGAGGCATAGCAAAGAGTAGGATGGCGATGGTGGGGGACAAAGTGGGTAGAACGCACGCAGACCAGCCAAGCATGCGGTGGAACGAGGGGCTAGTGGTCTTCATATCCTTTATGTATTTATACAAAACCACATTTCACTTCAAACAAGGCAACTTCGAAAAGGCCAATCAAGAAAACGCCAGAGAACTGAGGAGTAGCTCTATGGAGCAGGAAATGAATGACAGAACAGAAGGAGCACCGTAGCAGGCATGAATGCAACAGATCCAGCTTTTCCTTTCTTTGGGGTGAAGTACAGGTCAGACTTGCCTCAATAGCATGGATGAATGCAAGCTCTTCTGCTTGCAAGACGTTCCCTTCTGCACCATCTCCTCTTAATACGCTTTCCAAGCAAGGGCGCTCAGATTCTTCGGTCTCTGGCAAGCGCAATTCACTTTTGTTCCCCTCCGTCTCTTGTCGACCTCTGCCATCACATTCGCTTTCCTTCGAACGTTGTTGACTGTCCTCATCCATGCTCTCTGGCATTCTGCATTGAGCAGGTGGCGCGCTGACATGCCCACCTTCAGTGCGACTAGCCATCGAAAGCTCTGAATCTTTAGCGTCAAGTCCTGCCACCTTGGAAGATGGGATTTCTTCCTCTTTCTCCCGAGCTGATGGGATTGTCTCCTCCATCTCCCGAGCTCCTCCTTCAGTACATGCCCGATCCTTCAAATCCGATGCACCATCACAACTCCCTGCCTCTACCATTCTGCTTTGCACAGACGGTACGATCTTGCCTTCATCTTCACTGTGAATGTCTGCTGCAAGCACGGTATCCTGTCCTTCCCTTACTGCATCCTCAGAACACTCTTTAACTATTCGCTCGACCTCTCGAGCTGACCCATCATTACACCACCCTCTGTCATCGGAACTCGGCGCATTAACATAATCTTGGATATCCATTGGTCTGCATTGCGCAGATGGTAATTCGTCACATTCACCTTCGGTCAAGATGGTTGTCGCAAGCACTGCGTTGTCTGTATCCCTCCTCACTTCTGCCTCGGGAGGCCGTACTCCGTCCAGAGCGTCTTCAGGCCTCCCCAAGTTTGCACAGATCCCCCTACTATCATCGATTGGTAGTGTTGCTTTTTCACGCTCACCTTCAGTCAAGATGGTTGTCGCAGATGGTAAGATCTTGCCTTCATCTTCACTGTGAATGTCTGCTGCAAGCACAGTATCCTGCCCTTCCCTTACTGCATCCTCAGAACACTCTTTAACTATTCGCTCAACCTCTCGAGCTGACCCATCATTACACCACCCTCTTTCCTTGGAACTCGGCGCATTAACATACTCTTGGATATCCATTGGTCTGCATTGTGCAGATGGTAATTCGTCACATTCACCTTCGGTCAAGATGGTTGCCGCAAGCACTGCGTTGGCTGTATCCCTCCTCACTTCCGCCTCAGGAGGCCGTACTGTGTCCAGAGCGTCTCCAGGCCTCCCCAAGTTCGCACAGATCTCCATACTATCATCGATTGCTAAGCTTGCTTTTTGACGCTCACCTTCAGTCAAGATGGTTGTTGCAAGCACTGCATTGTCCGCATCCCTCCTCACTTCCGCCTTGGGAGGCCGTACTGTGTCCAGAGTGTCTTCAGGCCTCCCCAAGTTAGCACAGATCCCCCCATTATCATCGATTGCTAGGCTTGCTTTTTCACGCTCACCTTCGGTCAAGATGGTTGTTGCAAGCACTGCGTTGTCTGTACCCCTCCTTGCTTCCGCCTCAGGAGGCCGTACTGTTTCCAGAGTGTCTTCAGGCCTCCCCAAGTTTGCACAGATCCCCCTATTATTATCGATTGCTAGGCTTGCTTTTTCACGCTCACCTTCAGTCAAGATGGTTGTCTCAAGCACTGTGTTGTCTGTATCCCTCCTCGCTTCCGCATCGGGAGGCCCTACTGTTTCCAGAGCCTCTTCAGGTCTCCCCAAGTTTGGACAGCTGCTCCTATTATCATCGATTGGTAGGCCTGCCTTTGCACGCTCACCTTCAGTCAAGATGGTTGTCGCAAGCACTGTGTTGTCTGTATCCCTCCTTGCTTCCACATCGGGAGGCCCTACAGTTTCCAGAGCCTCTTCAGGTCTCCCCAAGTTTGGACAGATGCTCCTATTACCATCAATTGCTGGGCTTGCTTCCATAGCAGCAGCGTCATCAAGAGTTGCTTGAATTCTCAACGGACAATCTCTGTGCTCAACCTCCACACAGTTCTTGGAATCTTCCACCTTCACATCTGCTCCTACCCCTCCACTTCCATTCGCACACTCCTCCTCCCAAGTGTTCTGTCCATGCACCGCCGTATTGCTCTCAGTCACCTGGACGAGCGAACTGACATTCTCTTCACTGGACATCCGCCGCTGTTGACTTTCCAACTCCACATCCCCACCCTCACTTGCATCAGCGTTTGCACACAGGCCTTCCTGTGTCTTCACCGCGTGGGTTGCCTCGCAGCCACTCTGAAAAAGTGGGCCGGCATTCCCTTCCTCCTCGCAGGCTTCTATTCTGGTCTCGGACTTCCCTTCCGCATCGCCTTCTTCCCGAGTGGAATCCGCACACTCACTCATTTCTCGAATGTTTGCTACAGTCGATATATCGGCCTTGACGGGAGAGGATTCTTGTCCCTCATTCCTTCCCACACTGGGGCAGCTTCTTGTCTCCCGGAGTTGGCTTTCTGGATCTGCTGTGTTTCCTTCTGCAGGATGGCTACCGCTGATGAACCGTGTCTCCACCGAACACAAAATCTCAGCTGTAGCATTTCTTCCTGTGTCCGCCAAGGAGTCAACTACAGCTGCACTGCCAACAGCAGTGTTGCTCGTTGGCCCTTCCGGTTCCATTGCTGGGATCGAAGACTTTGCAGCGGCATCATCTGGTGACGCTTTTGCAGCATCTAGATCGCTTGGCATAACTTCTCCCACCAGATCCTCCACCACCATTTCATCTTCTCCCGTCGGCAAGCCAGCTCTTTCCTCTTCCTTCACACCTTGCTTGGACAACAAGTCTCCCTCAGTTTGTTCCACCGGTGAGGGCATTTGCTCATCCATGTCAGTGCCGTCAATCTGCGCTGCAAGATCAGAACGGCCATCAACCTTCTCAATCTCACTATCAGAACCTGCTTTGCATTCAACAGTAATTCCGTCACCACATTTGCGCTCACCGTCTGCCATTTCAATATCAACTTTTTGAACATCGTCTGCATTATCGGTTGGCTTCTGTGCATCACCGGTCTCTTGTGAAGTAGTACATAGTTCTAGGTCGACTGAATCTGCGTTAATCTGCTTCCGCTTCCCTCGAAGAAGCTCAAGCCGCCTGGCAGACCCAACACCTGCAGCATCCTTCTTCCTGTTCTGACCAATTGCCAATTGTTTGTAAGTCTGCCTACGACCTGACAGATGAGATGCTTTCAACGATTCCTCGTTCTCAACTTTTTGAACCAAGCCGACCTCGTGGGCATCGACCATCATCTCCTCCACATCAGACTTTCCAGATTCTTTCGCCGACTCATTGGGACACACCTCAGCATCACAAGCGGCATCTTCCTTGACCACCACCACCTTTCCCTCGTTGCTACCGTCAGACCCTGCCGTTGGATTGTCCTTCTGTACATCTTCCCGCTGCTCCTCCAAAGCTGTTACCTCTTCCAGCTCCACGACATCAGCTGTCTTATTCTGGCTGACATCAACACAGGTCTTCGCTACGTCAGCTTCCACAGCAACCTGGGCATCAGCAGCCATTGGTGGCACCCTCAAGTCTTCCACAGGGCATACATTGTTTCCTGCAGAGGGTTCATCTGCATCTGCTCGACAGCTTTCCTCCATTGTCAGATCCACAGTCACCCTTTTCCCTTGGCGTCTGTCCGCATTCCTTGAATCCGTCACGCAACCCAAAGACGTCGCTTCCGCCCGGTTAGCAGGTTGGACTCTGCTTCCTTCCAACTGATCGACCGCACTCGAGTCCAAAGCACGTCCTCCTTCCGCACGGCTCGGGGCATTCCTTTCTGATTCGACTTTTCCTTTCGCAGTGGCATCGTGGGGCACATCCACCGCCCGCCGACTACCTTCAGCTGCTCTTCTTCCCGGGCCAGCAGCCGCACTGGATCTTACAGCCGATCCCTTACCTTTTGCCCGCGCAGTGACGTTTGCTTCTGACTCATCCACCATTCCTTGGCACTCCTCGCCATCGATCTCCTGGATGTCATGGAGTTGTCCAAGGCCGCAACCATCAAATTTGCTGTTCAAATTCGTCTTCGTCTCATTGCATGAACCTCCTCCTGCACCATTCAATGCTTCAAGGTTCAGAGGAACTCTTCTTCTTGCCCTTCCAGTGGCATCCTTTCCTGTCTTCTTGCCGCTGCTCACCAGTCCTCCGCTCTCGCCCATATGCACCACAGCGGTGAAAGACCCCAGCAGTGGGGTTTGCTCAGCATCGCTATCTGCATCCCTGTGGAGACGTCGACTCCTGCGAACAGGTGTTGTCACAGGACTTGACTCCACATTTCTTCGTCGTCGAGATGTCACTTCAGGCTGCCTGCCACCACCTGCCTTCACCCCATTGGATGCCGCTGAGTTGCTTGGTGCTGCAATGGAATCGGCACCGGCTTGGCTTGAGAAATTATCCGTAACACAGTCTTCCGTTCCTGTTTGTTTGGAGTCACTGTGCTCGATCGACAACACTGGCGCGCATCCATCCCGTGAACCCTGGCAGCCAATCAAACACCCAGTTTCAGAGAGATCCAGTCAAATGGATCCATCCCGTTGTTAGAAAAATGCCAAATGGAAGAGAGTCAAAAGGATCCACAGCACAGCCACATATGCCATTGAGAGGATACTGCACCTTGCCCCAACTCCACATCCTGTCAAGGCTTCCACCCATTGCGAATGAGCATCACAGTTTCCGCAAGCAAGGTAGGAACCAAACCGGCAAAAACAGTCAAACATACAACCCCAAAATGAGGCCTCGTGCCATACCCACAGGACCTTCCACAGAGGCACCTCGGATGTGCATGCCATGTTAGAGGACCAAAATGCAAGTGCAGGTTTGCTGCAATCCAGACTTCCTATCCTCTATCTACTTGCTAACCAGCTCGGCAACCCTATATGTGCCTCTCTCTCTCTCTCTCTCTCTCTCTCTCTCTCTCTCTCTCTCTCTCTCTCTCTCTCTCTCTCTCTCTCTCTCTCTCTCTCTCTCTCTC